TATGACCCTTCAAGGACGTTGGAGTAACCAGAAAATGCAGACGAGATTAAGGAAAGCTGGGGATTCCCTGTCTGAGAAAAAGATGATAAAAGGACTAAAGAAATCAATGACTAATAGAGAACAGAATGTTAAATGTTAGAGATAATTACGTGACTTAGAACCAATGAGCATTAATTTCTTTATTCACTAAAAATGTATAAATAAGCAARAAAGTTTTGTATCGAGCTACAAGGGTGCCCTCATCCAAATCATTGATAAAGAGTTTAAATATATAAAAAAAAACCCTGTTTTTCCCCCAGCTTTCCTGCCACAAACGAGTSACTGTGGGGTGCGTTTGGCAGGCACTGGGTTGAACCAGACCTTCGCCCTCCCCATATTTCCGCTGTCCAAAAGCTATTTAGGCAGAAACAATGCTTTTCCCCCATTTTTCTTCCTSCTTTCTCTGCATCTCCCTGGGCGAGGGCCACTAGATGGCAACCCGTGACCGGCGCTGGGTGCCGGGGTGGCATTTGGGGACGGAGCGGCCGCKTCCCATCGCCGGGGACCGCACCGCCGCTCCCCTCTCCCCAGCTCCCCGAGCCTTTATTGCCCTTAACAAGGTCTTTCATCGCTTTTAGCCCCTTTTCTTGCAGCGGGGAGTGCCCTGAGTGGCTGCCGTGCCTGGGCCGCTGCCAGGGGTGTTAATGAGAGTCACGAGTGGCTCGGGGATGGATGGACGGCATCGGGTTGCCCCAGCAGCAGCAGCAGCAACACGAGCCGGGAGCTGTGTGTAGCTATAAACAGGCGCTGCCCCCAAACCGGCGCCGAGCTGTTGTGGGTACACACAGGAGATGGTGCCCGGCCCTTCCTTGCGGGAGGTTTTGGGCTCCCGCCCGAAAAAAAAGCCCTTGGGTTCGACAGCCACGCTTGGGACCGGCGCCCCGGGGTATCCCGAGGGTGGTGGGTGAGGGTGGGCGAGGGGAGGAGGGTTTGGTGCCCTTCCAGGTGAGTCGGCAGCCGAACAGCTGAGAGAATGGCTCAGAAATAGAGCTTCGGGGAATAAATGAGTCACCCCGGGCTGGAAATAAACAGGGCAGCGGGCGCCCGAGCGGCTCCCRGTGCGGCTTTTTGTCGGGATGGCGGAATACGCCTCACCGAGACAACCCTCGGGTCTCAACCCACGCCCCTTTTTGAGGGTAAAGCATCAAGGAAACATCAAAAAATGCAGAAGGCGGCAGTGAGGCGTTCTCAACGATTTATCACAAGCTCTATATACAAAGACAAGCTCTGGCGGAGGGTTGGGAAAGGGAACCTGGCTCCCGGCAGGACTCTTGGCACGCTGGATCTTCCCCCTCAACACGCACCAGCTAAAAATTGCTGGAGCTGGGAGTCCCCTCCGGAGTTTCTCCGGTCGGTGACGGGATGCATTCAGCACAGGTCTGACCCCACGGTGGAGGGAGCGTTCCCATTCCCTACCCCACATCCCAYCTCCTTCCCAAATCACCCAAATAATTAGCGAGGAAGGGGAGAGGGGGAGAAAGGAGCGCCTCCCCGACCCCTCAGATCTTGATCTCAGTCCTGAAGGTTTGCTGGACGTGCTCCGAGTGCGTGGCCGGCCGGCGCTGAGCCCGGATRGTCAACATCCCATTGTCCCCCAGAGAGGACGACACGGACGTGGGGTCCACATCTTCGGGCAGCTGGCACTTGTGGGTGAAGGTGTTCATGACAGTGCCATCCGTGGCCAGCTGGGGAGAAAAAATGGGCGAAAAGGGGAGATTTTGGGATGCAAGAAGGATGGGCACTCATTATTCCCTCTGATCACCATTAATGTTGAATTAAATCCYGCTGGGCTTGTGGCCACAGCTGTTCGGGATATGGGTGGGAACTGGGTGGTCCATGCATCCCCCGGTGAGGAATTTGGGGTCCCCCGCTTTGGGGGTGAGCGGGAAAGAGAGGAAGCACTCACTTTCTCAGCGTGCACCTCGATCTGGTTGTTGGAGGTGGTGACGATGATGTCCTCGGGCGCGAAGTCGCTGACGTCCACCGTGAACTGATAGGTGTTCCCCAGGGTCTTCACCACGCCTGTGTTACCGGGGCGAGCTGTCGGGCAGGGTTTGAGGGGGTCACAGCCACAGCTTGCTGAGGATCCCCCCCAGACACCTCCGGGTTCCCCCCTCCCCCCRACTCACCTGGGAACCCCAAGGTCTCCCCGTGGGGCCGAACAAAGCTCCCGAAAAGCTCCATGGTGCCGGCGGGCGAGGACTTCACCTTCACCCACCGCTTGCCCCCACCTGCGACCCCCAACTCCCGCCGGGGGRAAGAGCGGAATTCCCTTCCTCGTTCTCCTCCCGGCGAAGGCGACGCCGGATCGGTTATTTCGGGATATTTCGACTTGACGAGCTTTTTAAAGCCTCGTTAAGGCTTCCGGCCGCCTGCCAGACCTCTCGTAAAACCAGCTAAATTTAGGTCTTGCGCCGGAGACGGTGGAAATTTTTCCCCTCTCCGACCCCCCCAACTCAACGCCATGGAATGCAATGCATATTATTAAGGAATAATCATGATAATTAATTAAAATACGTATTAAATCCTCCCCGCCGCGGGATGTACGTCGGGATTGGGAGCTCGGGGGTGGCGGCAGAGGGGGGGAGGGGGGGGAAACCCGGCTTGCTCCGGCCCGAGCGGGTCCGTCGGATTCGTCAAGGTCGTTTTTAATGAGTTCGTTTGCAAACTCAGTCTGGCAGCAGAGGCCGAGGCGGGAGGACGGGTGAGGGGGTGCTTAAAAAAAAGGGGGTGCAGACCCCAAAAAAGTCCCCGGGATGGAGCGCCCCGTGCCCGGGGGGCTGCGGGAGAAGGAAGAGGAGCARGAGGAGGAGAAGAGGGTGCTGGTGTCGGAGAACAGCTGGAGACCCTGCCCCAACGCCCGGAGAAGGGTCCGAGGTGAGGCTCCCACCCAAAAAGGGGGATTCTGAGGTGCAGGGGGTTTTGGGGGGGTCAGCACCCTGTTTCCCCCCCTCGCAGGGTGCTTGGAGTGGGTGAAGCGGCAGCTTTTCTGCGTCGGGGAGGATTGGTACTTCCTCTTCATCCTGGGGGTGCTCATGGCCACCATCAGCTTCGTGATGGACATCATCGTCGGCAGGCTCTATGCGGGTAAACGAAGGGCACCTTGGGGAGCTTCACAGGTGTTTGGGGGTTCACTGAGGATATGGGAGGCTTTGGGGGTGCATCTCCMCTCCCATCACCTCTCCTGCAGCCCACAGCTGGCTGTACCGAGAGATTGGGGACATTGGGGTGCTCAAGTACCTCTCGTGGACCCTGTACCCCACGGCACTGGCCGCCTTCTCCACYGGCTTCTCCCAGAGCATCACACCACACTCTGGAGGTGAGCCAGCTGCACCCCGACCTCCCCRGCTTCCCAGAACTCCCCTTGGTAATGGGAGACCCCTAAAATTTGGATTCTGCCCCCTTCTCCCCACCCCCCACCCTGTTGCAGGCTCCGGCATCCCGGAGCTGAAGACCATCCTGATGGGTGTGGTGCTGGAGGACTACCTGGCCATCCAGAACTTCGGAGCCAARGTGGTGGGGCTGACCTGCACCCTGGTGTGTGGCAGCACCCTTTTCCTTGGGAAAGTGGTGAGGGATCCCYTTCTGACCCCCAAGATCTTTCAGTTGGTGCCGAGGCGGGGGGGTGGCTCAGCTCTGTGTCCCCCCCCACAGGGCCCCTATGTCCATCTCTCTGCCATGGCTGCGGCATATCTGGGGAAGATGAGGACCACGGTCACAAGGGAGTATGAGGTAGGGGTGCCACTCTCCAAAAAATTTATGGAGGGATCTTATTTCACCCCCCCAAAAAGCTGGCCTTGCACCTAAACCCCCCACCCTACAGAACAAGTTCAAGCAGCACGAGATGCTGGTGGCAGCACAAGCCGTCGGGGTGGCCACTGTCTTCGGGGCACCCATCAGTGGTAAGGACCCCCACCAATCCCACCCTGGGCACCCCCAAACCTCACCCTAACCCCTTTCCCTGTTTTCACAGGGGTGCTTTTCAGCATCGAGGTGATGTCTCCCCACTTTGCTGTGCGGGATTACTGGCGCGGCTTTTTCGCTGCCACCTGTGGCGCCTTCATGTTTCGGATCCTGGCTGTGTTTAACAGCGAGCAAGGCAAGGCAGGGGGGATGGGATGTGCTCTCTTCCCCTTTACCCTTCCCTGTGGTATTTTTGGGGTGCTCACCCCCAAACCCACACCATCATTCCTCTCCTCCCTCTCAGAAACCATTGCTGCTGTTTTTAAGAGTGACCTCAAGATTGATTTTCCCTTCGACCTCCTGGAGACCTTCTTTTTTGTCATTTTGGGGTATGGAGGRTCTGGTTTTGGGGTGCTRCCTGTGCCCTGCCTRTGCCCTGCCTGTACCCCTACCTGTCCTTTCCTCACAGGATCATCTGCGGGGTTGTGGCCTGTGCTTATCTCTTCTGCCAGCGCTGGATGATGGTGGCCGTCAAGAAGAACTGGCTGACAGCCAAGCTCTTGGCCACCGAGTCCGTACTAGGCGTCTGTCCACCCATCTGTGTGCACCCTGTGTCCATGTGTCCCTGTGTTCCCCCTGTGCACCCTGCCCACCCACCCTGAGTGTCCCTAGGTCCCCTGGTCACCCATCCCACCCACCCTGGGTGTCCCAATGTCCCTCCCATTCACCCTGCCCATCCCTGGCTCTCTCCTGTCTGCCCATCTGTCCGTCCCCATGCCTTCAGCCCCACATGTCCCCCCTGCAGCAAACCCGTGTACACGGTGCTGGTGGTGCTGCTCCTCGCCTCTGTCACCTTCCCGCCTGGGCTGGGGCAGTTCATGGCCTCCAGGGTGAGTGGGGACAYGTGGGACTCCCTGGGGACCCCAAAACCTTCCAGCAGGGGCTCAGGGTGCCCATTTGTCCGTCTGTCCAGCTCACCATGAAGGAATATCTCACCTCCCTCTTTGACAACCGCACGTGGGGCTCGCTGGCCACCAATGCTTCAGGTGTGGCCAAGCCTGGGGGGCACTGGCAGGAGTGGGACCATCCCTCCGCCACCATCTATGGCACCTTGATCTTCTTCCTGTTCATGAAGGTAACCATGGAACMCCCCAATCTCTGGGTAGCCCCCCAACATGGTGTCCCCATGGGGTGATCCCCCCTGTGTCCGCTGCTCCCCCAGTTCTGGATGCTGATCCTGGCCACCACCCTGCCCCTGCCAGCCGGGTACTTCATGCCCATCTTCATCTACGGTGAGTGAGGGGCTGGGCCTGGGGGGACACGGGGAGGCACAGCCAGACCGAGGGGGGGCACAGGGGGGCAGCCAGGCGGGGTGCAGCCAGCCCTGGGGAGGGGTGCAGGGGGTTCATTCAGCCCTTGTGGTGGGGGTTCAGGGGGTGTATCCTGCTCTGGGGGGGCTGTAGGAGGGGGGTCACCTCTATCTCCACCATTTCTTGGGGGCCTCCTGGGATCTCCTCACCTTCCCCCCCCAATTTCAGGAGCGGCCATCGGGCGCCTGCAGGGGGAGGTGGTGGCCCTGCTCTTCCCGCAGGGCCTGCACTCGGAAGGACCCCTACGGCCCATCATTCCCGCTGGCTACGCCCTGGCCGGTGAGTTCGGGGGTGGCAGGGACACACCCACGGGCAGGGGGACACCCACGGGCAGGGGGACACACCCACGGGCAGGGGGACACACCCACGGGCAGGGGGACACACCCACGGGCAGGGGGACACCCACCCCCATCCCCTGACCCCCCTGCTCCCCGTGGCCAGGCGCAGCGGCGTTCGCGGGTTCGGTGACCCACGCGGTGTCCACGGCCCTGCTGGTGTGTGAGGCCACCGGGCACCTGGGCCAYGTCCTGCCCATCGTGCTGACCGTGCTGGTGGCCAACGCCATCAGCCAGAAGCACCAACCGTCCTTCTACGATGCCGGCATCATCGTAAAGAAGCTGCCCTACCTGCCCCCCATCCGCAGCCGGCACATCGCGTAAGAGCCTGCCCTGAAGGTTCACATGTTGGGAGGATTCTCCAGGAAATGATGGAAATCCRGGGGGTTTTGTGCTCACCAGCTCCTACCGAGTGACAGTGGAGGAGTTCATGGAGCGCCGGCTGGTGGCCTTGGCCAAGGGGGATGGGTTCCAGGAGGTGCTGRTGGCCTTGGACGCCTCTGCTGACACCGAGTACCCTGTGGTGGAGAGCACAGGTGGGGTATGGGGCTTGGAGGGTCATTGTCCCCATGAGGGATGGTCAGCCAGTGAGACCCTGAACCTGTGGTGACCCTTCTGTCTCCTCCTACCGTCCCCACGGTGTCCCCATAGCACTCACTTGATATTCCCATGCTCTCTCCATACCCTGCCCATGCTGTCCCTATGGGGTGTTCCTGTGGTGTCCTCACACTGCTCCTAGGGGTGTCCTTTGATATTCCCATGGTGTCCTGTCCCCATTGGTGTCCAAATGTTGGCCCCTTTATATTCCCATGTTGTCCTCATGGTGTCCCCACCCTGTTCCCTCAATATTCTCATACCCTCCCCCTGGTGTCCCTGCACTGTATCAGTGCTGTCCCCATCCTGTTTGGTGTCCCCGTGCTGTTCCCTTGATATTCCCATTCTGTCTCCACCGTCTCCCTATGGGGTGTCCCCTTGATATTCCCATACTGTCCTCATACCAGCAGCCTGCTGTCCCTATGGGATGTCCCCTTGGTGTCCCATTACCTCCTCCTGTTATTCCCATACTGTCCCCTTGGTGTCCYCCTGGTATTTCCATACTGTTCCCATGGTGTCCCCACGCTCCAGGGTCCCCCACGCTGGTGGGCACAGTCAGCAGATCCCAGCTGGTCACCTTCCTCCAGAGCCAAGAGCATCCCCAGGCCCCCCAAGGGGAAAAGGTAAACGGGGTGGGGGGCACCCCACCGCAGCCAAAAAGCTGCTGTTCCACCCCAAAATTAATGTCACTTTCCCACAGCCGGCCACCGTGGGGACACTCAAGGACGACTGTGYCATCGAGCCCATCATGCTCCAGTTCTCCCCGTGGACCTCCCTGCACCAGGTTTGGGGGGAGGACACATGTTGTGGGAGCCCCCCCAGTTCTGTGTCACGCTGAGGGGACACGGCAAGGGTGGCTTTGTCCCCACGTGTCCCTGTTGTCCCTTTCCCAGGCCTATCACCTGTTCCAGCTGCTGAAGCTGCAGCGAGTCTTTGTCACCCGATCGGGGGAGCTGGTGGGAGCTGTGAGCAGGGCGGAGGTGAGGGGGATAAAGGGGGAAAGGGGAGAAAGGGGGAAAGGAGAAGGGAAAGGAAGAGAAAGGGGGGAAAAGGGAGGGAAAGGGGGGAAAAAGGGGAAGGGAAAGGTGGGTAAGGCCCCATCCCACCTCTTCTCCTTCCTTCCAGCTTCGGAGAGCAATCGAGGAACTTGCCAACCCCAAGTGATGACGTTTTGGGACCACAGAGGACCCCTCGCCAGGGATGACCCCCGTGGAAAGGGGGGAAATCCTGACCCCCCCCCCAGGCGGTGTGGGGGGCCTGGTTCTCCAGCAGAGCGTGTCATGCATTAAAAATACACCAAGCCATCAATGCTTCCTCCTCCTCCTTCACCCCCGCCCCTCCCAAACCCAACTGCAACGGTTCAACCCCCCCCGTATCACCCCAAAACTGCCCCAGGACATGCACTGAAGTGCCCCAGTCTCTGCAACACTCCTCTATGGCCCCCTCCTGTAATTATCAACACACAATTATCTTTATTTTAATTACCCTTAATTCCTGCAATTAATAAGGGTGACGGGTGTTCAGTGGCTCCGAAATCCGGGGGAAGCAGGGTCTGAGCCCCCCCAGCCCTTTGGTGACCCCCAGACTGGGGCRCAGCGGGTCGGGGCGGCGCAGCAGGCGCTACCGTAGCTGTAATTATGCCTGGGGGGTTAATTAGGCGCGGCGGAGCAGGTTGGGCAGGGCGGGCATGCCCGGGCCCGGCGCAGGACGGGTGAAGCGGGGTCAGCGCCAGGGAGACACCCCAAAAGTGGGGCAGGAGCTGGGATGGGCTCCGGGACGGGTGCTGGGAGGGGGCTGGGCTGCGGCACCCAGGGGAGGGGCGAGGGGAGCGAGGGGTCCTCGGCCCCGGATCCCTTTGGGGGGATGGTCAGTGGAGCAGCACCCACGGGTGACAACCCCAGCCCTATGCAACACCCCAAAAGCCCCGCTGTGCCTCAGTTTCCCCATCGCTTCCCCACGCCGTCGGTTCCTTGTCCAGCCCTGCCACAGGCAAAGAGGGGATCGGGAGCCGCCAGGAGCCCCCCGGCCAGGACTGTCCCCGCAGCCCGAGCTGTCCCCCCGGCCAGGACTGTCCCCGCAGCCCGAGCTGTCCCCCCGGCCAGGACTGTCCCCGCAGCCCGAGCTGTCCCCCCAGCCAGGACTGTCCCCGCAGCCAGGACTGTCCCCTCGGCCAGAGCTGTCCCCCCGGCCAGGACTGTCCCCGCAGTCCGAGCTGTCCCCCCGGCCAGGACTGTCCCCCTGGCCCGGGCTGTCCCCGCAGCCAGGACTGTCCCCCCGGCCAGGACTGTCCCCCCGGCCAGGGCTGTTCCCTCCCGCGGCCGCCGCCGGATCTTCAGCCGGACCGAGCCCGACGAACCCGTGACACCCCCAGAACGCGGTGAAATTCCCCTGACCGGAGGCTTTTGCAGCCAGACGTYGGTCCCCGCTCACCCCTCGCCCATCCTTTTTTATGGTTTGGARCAGAAAAAAATGTCAAACCCCTTTTTTCCGGCGTTTTTCTACCCCGTCATTTGCAGGCTCCGGGCAGCCGGCGCGGCCGGGCTTTGGCTTCGGGGGAGTGGCGGGGAATGAAAAGCCCAAATTCCTCGTGGGTTTTGCTGAGGGAAAGAGGCCCCGGATGGGAAACGCTCCTGGAGCCGTGTGAAACCCCTTAAAATCACTGATAACCCCCTAAAAAACTTCAGACCCCCTTAAAAAACCCTCTTTAACCCTTTTAAAACCCCTCTTTAACCCATTTTAAACCCTGTTAAAACCCCTAAACCCCCCTTTTAAACCACCCTTAACTCCCCAAAAACAGTCCCTAAATAAAACCCCTTAAAAAACATTAAGTCCCCCTAAAAAAACTTTAAACCCCTTTAAAGCCCCTAAGCCACTTTACAGATCCTGATAACTCCTTAAAAACCCTTAAAAACTCTAAAAAAATCTTTAAACCTATTTAATTCCCTGTTAATACCCCAAAAAAACCTTTTAAAAATCCTTAAAACACCCTAAAAACCCCTTTAAAACCCACTTAAAATCCTTTAAGTTCCCTTAAAAATGCCCTTAAACCCCCTGAAATCCAGGGGAAACTGCCTCTCTTTGCCACTCAAATTCCCTCAATCTCTGTGAAACAGTGGGAAAACAAAATATTCTAGAAAACAAAAAAGCTCATATTTTTATTCAAAACCCCACAAAAATCCCCGTAAGTCCATAAAAAATGGGGGGGAAAAGCATCCAAGTATTTTTTTTTTATTTCCCCCTTTTTTTTCTCTCCCAAACCTGACACAACCTTTAATTCCTCGCAATAAATATACAAAAATAGAATAAATTACATTAAAAAATAYAAGGCAACACTGGCAGATCAGCGTTAAAGTGGAACAAAACCACCCAAAAACCCGGTGGGAGAGGAATAAATAGGRACAAAAAAGTAAAAATAAATCCGTTTTGGGACTGAGCCCTTTTTTCCTTGAAATGTGGGGGGAAAAATAAGAAGAAAAATCCCACTCCCCCAGCTCCAAATGAGCATGAAATTCCATTTTTTTTTTTTTAGGGGGGAGGGCAGGGGCAGCACCCGTTTCATCCCCAAGTACGGGGATAATATCAATAACACTATAAAAAAAAAACCTTAATAATTACAGAAATAATAAATAAACCCCTCGGGGAAGAGGGGGGGGTCTTCATGTGGTGTTTGGGGTGTTTGGGATCAGCCCGGGCCCCCCCCGGCGCCCGCCAGCTCCTGCAGCCCCAGCAGGCTGTAGGCAATGCGCTTCTGGTGCCCTGGCAGCCGCACCCCGATCCGCTTGATGTCCCTGGGAAACGGGAAAAGAGAATCAGGACTGGGGGAGGGAGAGCCCGGGATGGGCTGGGGAAGGGGGGCTAGGAGGGGATGGATCCAGCAACAGACACAGCCTGGCTTTGGGGGGAACGGATAGATCCAGCAACAGACACAGCCCGGCTTTGGGGGGAACGGGGGCTGTGAGGGGATGGATCCTGTGACAGACACAGCCTGGCTTTGGGGGGAACGGGGGCTGGGAGGGGATGGATCCTGTGACAGACACAGCCCGGCTTTGGGGGGAACGGGGGCTGTGAGGGGATGGATCCTGTGACAGACACAGCCCGGCTTTGGGGGAGCCCCAGGGGCAGCGTTCCGGGGGTGGGGATGGGTGGACAGGGATCATCCCAATGGGTCAGCCCAAGGGATGGAGGGACAGGGATCAGCCCGAGGGATGGAGGACAGGGGTCATTCTGAGGGATGGATGGACTGGGATGATCCTGAGGGATGGATGGACACAGCTCAGCCTGAGGGATGGATGATGGGGATCATCCCGAGGGATGGATGGATGGGGATCATCCCAAGGGATGGATGGACACGGCTTGGCCTGAGGGATGGATGGACATGGGTCATCCTGGCCTCTCTGGCCAAGGAACATCTAATTTTATCTCGTCCCTCAGGCCACCACGGCCATGGAAGTGGTTTCCGTTCCCAGCATATCGCTGTCCCATGGGACTGAGAGGGGAGGGTATGGGGACAGCGTGGGGACAGTGTGGGGACATGTCCCAGGGACAGCAGGGAATGGCATGGGGCCAGTATGGGAACACTGGGGGACAGCAGGGGACACTCACTCGTTGGTCATCTGCAGAACCTTCTCAATGGTGCTGTAGCCCGAGGCCATGAAGGTCTCGGTGTACTGGGGCATCCGGATGGACTCCAGCCACTCCGGGACGGAGCGGAACGGGACGCCCTCGGAGCCRCTGGTGCTGGGCAGGCGGATGGACACCCTGGGGAGAAAAATGATGCAAAAATAGAAAGATGAAAAAAAAGGGCGCAGAAATGTGAGGCTGGGAAAATAATGTGAAAGCAGAAGGGCGTAAAAATGATGCAGAAAGGCAATGATGCAAAAAATGGTGTGGAAATGGGGGGATGTGAAAAAATAATGCGAAAATGGAAGGTGCAAAAAATGAGGCAGAAAGGCCAGGACACAAAAATATTGCAGAGATGAAACAATGCAAAAAATGGTGCAGGAAGGGAAAGGTGCAAAAATGGTGCAGGAATGAAAAGGTGGCAAAAAAAGATGTGAAAATGGAAGGATGGAAAAATAACACAGGGCTGAAAAGATGCAAAAAATAATGTGAAAATGGAAAGATAAGAAATTCTACATAGACATAGAAAGGTGAAAAAAATATTGTAAAAATTTGGAACATGCAAAAACAGTGCAGAAATAAAATTATGCAAAAAGCATGAAAGTGGAAGTTTAAAAAAATGACGCAGAAATGGGAAGATGCAAAAAAATAAATGCAAAAATGGGACAATGAAATGAAGATGCAGAAATGAAATTATACAAAAATGATGTGAAAACAAGAAGCTACAAAAAAAATGCAGAAATGGAGATGATGCCAAAAGCAGCATGAGAGTGCAGAGATGCAAAACCCAACCCAAAACAGCATCACAAGAGTGCAAAAAATGATTCAAAAAATGCGAAGATGAAAATAAAATTTTGCACAAGAGTGCAAAAAATGATAGTAGATGCAAAGATGTGCAAAAATCAGAGAGTCCTGGACTGGTTTGGGTTGGAAGGGACCTTAAATCCCATCCAGTGCYACYCCCTGCCATGGGCAGGGACACTTCCCACTGTCCCAGGGTGCTCCAAGCCCAATCCAGCCAGGCCTTGGACACTTCCAGGGATTCAGGGCAGCCACAGCTTCTCTGGGCACCYGCTCCCCTCCCCGTCCTTGCTCCCCTCCCCATMCTGGTGCTCCCYGYGCTCACCGGGGGTCRAAATCCGCCAGCGCCTTGAGGGACTCGGGGGCGCGGATGAGTTTGTCCAGGATGCTGACGATGTCGGTGAACTTGGGGCGCCGGCAGCGCTCCTGCTGCCAGCACTGCATCATCAGCTGGTAGATGGCCGAGGGGCAGTCCAGCGGCGCTGGCAGGCGGAAGCCCTCGTTGATGGCCTTCATCACCTATGAGGAGGAGGAGGGTCAGTGATAGCCCCCCTCAAAAGAGCTGCACATTCACAGAATCCCAAATGGTTTGGGTTGGAAGGGCCTTAAAGTTCCTCTCGTTCCAGCCCCAGCCATGGGCAGGGACATCTCACATGGTCTAGGGTGCTCCAAGCCCCATCCAACTGGTCTTGGCCAGCCCCCGAAACAGTGATGGCAGAGGGCGGGCACTCACCTCATGGTTGGAGAGCTCCCAGTATGGACGCTCGCCGTAGGACATCACCTCCCACATGACRATGCCGTAGCTCCAGACATCGCTGGCAGAGGTGAACTTGCGGTAGGAGATGGCTTCGGGTGCTGTCCAACGGATCGGGATCTTCCCGCCCTATGGGAGCATTGGGGTCAGCTCTGCACACCCCAAAAAACCACCCTTGCCATGGTCAACCACAATGGACAACCACCCCAACATGGCCAGCCGTGATGGACAATCAGCCCAACATGGCCAACCACCCCAACCTGGCCAAACATGATGGATAACCACCCCAACATGGCCAACTGTGATGGACAATTGCTCACCCTGGACAACCACCCTCGCCATGGCCAACGCCCTCACCCTGGTCAACCGGGATGGACAATCACCCACCTTGTTCAACCACCCCAACACCACCAACCACCCCGGACCTTGGCCAACCACCCCTCCATGACCACCCGCCCCACCGCGGTGACACTCACGCTGGTGGTGTAGGTGGCTTCAGGGTCATCTTCCAACACCCTGGAGAGCCCRAAATCGGACACTTTGCACACCAGATTGCTGTTCACCAGGATGTTCCTGGCAGCCAGGTCCCGATGGACGTAATTCATGTTGGCCAAGTACTTCATGCCGGCAGCAATGCCCCTCAACATCCCCACCAGCTGGATGATGCCAAATTCGCCTTCTTTTTCCTGGGAAAAGGGGAGAATTCAGCCTGGAATCCACCTGTCGTCCAACCTCCCCGGTGGCGGTTGGAGGTTCCACCACCCCGTGGTCGTTGCCATCATGTGTAACTTACTCGCAGGAATTTATCCAGTGCCCCGTTCTCCATGTACTCCGTGATGATCATGAAGGGCTTGTCTGCATGAAAAAAGACCCCAAAAGCAGGTAAGTACCCCAAAAAAAGTATCCTTCCAACCCTCTTAAAATCTCTGAGCCTCCYACAAGCCCTCCCAAAATCCTCAAAAGCCCAGAATGCCCAATGACCCTCAAAAAAACCCAACTCCTGAAAACAATCCCAACCCCTCAAAAATAATAAAACACCCCAAGCACCCCCAGAAACCCAAATCACCTCAGTTTCCCCCAAAAAACCCACACCCCCAACCCCCCCCAAAAAATCACCTCTGTTAAACATCCCCAAAACAACAAAAAGCCTCAAGCCCCTTAAAGACCCCAACAAACCCCAACTGCCAAAACCCTGAAATAACTTCCCCAATTCCTTAAAAAATGCCCTAAACTGCCCCTAAAACTTCCCAAATAACTCTGAATTCTCTCCCCCCAAAAAAATCCCCAACCTCATCCTCCAAAAAAAGCCCAAAATACCCAAATCCCCCAAATCCCCATTTCTCTGTTGCTCAAAACACCCTATTTTTACATAACTTTTTTGGGGTGTTTTGCTGAGAAATTGGGGTGGGTTTTTGGGGGCGACAGGACATAAAGGCCACTCACACTTGGAGACAACKCCCTCGAGGCGGATGATGTTGTGGTGGCAGAACTGTCCCATGATGGTGGCCTCGCTCAGGAAGTCCACGCGCTGCTTCTCCGTGTACCCCACCTTCAACGTCTTAATGGCCACGGGCACCTCTTTCCTGCCGCGTTTCAGGGTGCCCTTGTACACCTCCCCAAATTCACCTGCTCCAAGAAACGGGGTCACCCTTAAGCCCCCACCCCGCCCTGCCCCGATTTTGGGATGTCTTTGGGGGGACAAAGCTACACACCAGCGCCGATGACCTTCTGGCGGGTGATGAAGGATGGAGGGATYTCGGTGGTGAACTTGAGCATGGCTTGGTTGGGGTCCTCGTAGGTGTGGGGGTCAACGTACGTCTTGAGAGGCTTCAGCTGGTCTGGGGTGTCAGGGAGAGGGGTCAGTGTCCCTGTGACCACCCGCCCATCGCCGCTGTCCCCACTGTCCCATGGCTCACCTGACTTGGAGAAGTAGACGTCCTCAGCGGATTGGCGCAGCCGTGACCTCCTTCTCCTGTGGACAAAAAAAAACCCTCCTTTGTCCCAAAGACCATCCCTCACCCACATTTGGTGATGGGACAATGACATTTTGGGTTTTTTGGGGGTCTCAGGGGGGTCTGTCCCCTTACCTCCGGAGGACATAGAGGAGAGTGGCCAAGAGCAGGACGACGAAGACGATGCCAGCGACGGTGCCGGTGATGACAGCGGTTGATGCCATGGCCTCGGAACCTGCRGGGACTGTCCAGGTGAGCCCCTGCACCCAGAGCCCCCACCCCAGAGCCCCTGCCCCACAACCCCAGAGCCCCCAGCCCCTCCTCACCCTCGGGCAGCGTCTCGAACTCGTGCTGGGGGCTGAAGGCACCGTGGCCGTCAGCGGTGAGAGCCTGGACCCGAACCACGTAGGCAGTGCCTGGAGACAACTTGGGCAGCGTGACAGAGGTGCCCTCACAGCGCAACACGGAGTAGCTGTTCTCATCCACCTGGGGACATCAACAGGGACATTGGCGTGACACGCAGGGAGGGCGGCTCAGGTGGGGCAAAGATGGAGGTGACGTGGGAGAGGTGACAGGGATGGGGCAGGGATGGAGGTGACAGGGATGGAGGGATGAACATGGGAGGTGACATGGATGGAGGCAAGGATGGGGAGGTGACATGGATGTGGAGGTGACATGGATTGGGGAGGTGACATGGATTGAGGGATAAACATGGGAGGGATGGAGACATGGAAGGAGATTGCATGAACAGAGGTGACACAGCTGGGGACACGGATGGGGGTGACACGGATGGGGGTGACACGGATGGGGGTGGCAGGCTGTGTCACCAGACTGACCTTCTTGCTGTAGGTGACCTCGTACTTCCAGACCTGACTCTGCTGCCGCAGTGGCACCGTCCAGGACAGGACCAGGCTGGTGGCCGTCCGTCCGTCCAGGCTCACCGATGTCACCCGGGGGGGCTCTGCCATGGGGACACATAGGGAYGTCACCGAGGTGTCCGCAAGGGGAAGGGGAACATCACAGAGGTGTCCCCACCACAAAGGTGTCCCCACCACGAGGGAAGGTGTGGGAGCTGTCGGTGTCCTCTCACCTGTCTGGTTGATGCTGATGGTAGCACTGGCCACACTGCGCTGGTGGCTGTAGGGGGACACCCCATTGCGGGCCTCCACAGTGAAGGTGTAGTTGACRTGCGGCTCCAGGTCAGTTACAGTGACCCCCGTGCCTGTGAGCCCCCGGGGGGGCTGTGAGAACCGRACCCCGCTATCACAGGGCCGGCACTCGCTGCTCTCGGGCCAGCACTGCTCACAGGTGACGCTGTAGGTGACGTCCTCGCGGCCACCAGGGTCGGTGGGTGGGGCCCAGCGCAGCTGCACCGCGGCCCCCAGCCCCACAGCTGTGACGGCCTGGGGTGGCGAGGGGGGACCTGCGGGGCACACGGGCAGGGTCAGGGGACACGGGCGGGGTCAGGGGACAGAGCCATCCCATGGGGTCCCCCCTCCGGAGGTGACTTACGGGTGCAGGGGTGCTCTGGTGGGTCCTCGGGGGCCCGGAAGAATCCATCCTGGCACGGGCAGGTGGCGGCGGCGGCTGGGGAGGGCAGGGTGTGGAGGGGACAGGGCTGGCAGCCCACTGAGGACACCACAGCCTTGAAGGTGCCGGGGGGACACGCTGGGGGGACACACAAAGTGACACTGGTGAGATTCCAAATCCTGTGCCCCATCCGCAGGATCAGCAGCTGGCGCGGGGGAACGGGAGGGCAGGACCCCCAAAGCAGCCAGAGAGGGATTTTGGGGGAGTTCACCTCATTTTGCAGCTTCTTTATTATTGCCCACCGCGCCAACCCCAGCCCAGCCCTCTCCTGGCTGAGCCCTGTCACACTCACTGCAGGAGTGATGCTCAGGGGAATGGGCCATGATGGGGAATTTTGGGCCACACCTCTCATTTCTCTAACTCAAATTGGGAATTTCAGGGTATTTAATCTTATTGTTTATTGGGAACTTCCCCAGCCCACCTTTCAGCCTGCTGAGCTCTCACACAGTCACTACACCAGTGGTGCTGAAAGATGAGGATCCAGGACTGGGAATTTTGGAACCAACACCTCCTTTCTCCAACCCCAAATGGGGAAWTTTTAGGGCATTTCACCTCATTTTTGCAGCTGCTGCCCCACCCTTCTCCCAGCTGAGCCCTTCCACACTCACTGAGCTCAAGGCTGAGGATTCAGGACAGGGAATTTTGGGGCCAAACCCCCATTCCTCGAGCCCAGACACCTCTCAGCCCCCAATTTATGCYCCAGTCCCTACCTTGGCAGGTGTCTCCCACGCTCTGGAAGCCAGCCCGGCACAGGCATTCCCCGATGGGCACGAGCCACTCGCCGTCGGCATTGCAGTGCAGAGCCGGYGCCTGCTCGGCCACCGCCTCGGCCACGCACGAGCCCCGCACCTCAGCCAAGGTCTGCGAGTCCGCCCCGGCCACGGTCTCCGGGAACTGTGCCATGCCCTGCACCACGGCCGGGCAGCGCTTGTAGTAAACACGCACGGAGAGCAGCGCCACGCAGGCTCCCAGGTCCTGGAAGGCCAGGTAGAAACCCTTCCTCCGCAGGGGCCCCACCGACCGCACCTCCACGTTGAGTTTCACATTGCGGGCRGCAAAGTCTTCCTGCACAGTGATCTCATCCGGAGCGATGGTGTCGATYTTGCGGAACTGCCGCTTCTGGAAGTTGGTGCCATAGTCCACATCRGACTCGGCGTAGTAGAGGTTGAAGGTCTCYTTGCAGGAGCCGCCGCCGGCCGTGGGGAAGCTGTTGCAGTCGCGCACGGTGAACTGGAGCTCAATGAAGATGCGCTGGGCCACGCCGCGGTAGATCCAGTTGGTGCGCAGCCAGTTCTCCTGCTCGCCCTCCAGGACGTTGCACACCGAGTACATGTAGATCAGCGAGTCATTGAGGACGTTCTGCAGCTGGTCCCACTGTCCCCACAGAGACACAAACAGGGTTATGGGGAGGAACTGAGGCACGGCYTCCTGACCCCAGGGATGGGCTTGTCCTCATCACCTTCTTCCGTTCCCACCCTCAGGGAGGTCCCCAGACACATCCCAGAGGTCTCCAACCCCACGGATGTCCCCATGTCTGTCCCCATGGGTGTTCYTGGTCCCATGGAGGGCCCCAACCCAATTCCAGTGAAGGTCTCCAACTCCATGGATGACCCTGCCCATGGGATGTTCCTGTGGTGGTCCCTTTCTACAGGTGCTCCTGTCCCTATGGGTGTCCCTGTTCCCATTGCCATGGATGTCTCTATTTCCATGGATGTCCTCATCCCCATTCCTGTGAAGGTCCCCAAAGATGTTCTTGCCCCCATCCCCACAGAGCTCCCCCATGGCTGTCCCCAGTCCCCATAGTGAGTCCCCATTCCCTGTCCCCATCCCAGTGGGGCCGGAGTGTGTGGGTGCTCACCCCTTGTCCGTAGGGATGGGTGAGCCAGCCCAGCTCCCCGTGAGCCTTGGCGAAGTCCAGCAGCACCACTGTGGGACAGGAGAGAGGAGAGGGATGTCAGCAAATGCCACCACAGACAACCCCAGGACCTGCATGTGCCACCAACAAACCCCTTTGGCCCATGGACGTCCCCCAGGACCCACAGACATCCCCCAGGACCCAGAGATGTCCCTCAGGACTTGTGTGTAAACCCTGGGACCCACAGATGTTTCCAGGACCCCTGGAAGTCYCCCAGGACCCACAGACATCCCCACAGAAGTCCCCAGAATGTGCATGGATGTCCCATGGATGACGCTTGGATGACCCCAAAATTCATGGATGTCCTGGGCACCCACGGGTGTCCCTGGGACCCACAGATGCCACCGGGATCCACGGACATCCCTGGGACCTGTGTGTCCATCCTTGAGACCCACAGACACTCCACCAGGACCCCTGGATGCCCCCAGGACCCACCCCATCCCCACCGACATCCCCAAGAGCCACGGATGTCCCCAGAACCTCGAATCATTCCCAGGCCCCACGGAGCCCCCATTCCCGATAGATTCCGCTGGAAGGAGCCCCCGGGGCCGCCCCCAGAAGCRGGGAGGCCGCGGGCCCGGCGGGACCTGCCCTGGCACGCCGAGGGCGGTGGCCGGATCCAGCGCCAGGAGAGGAAGAGGAGGAAGAGGAGGCCGGGCAGGGAGTGGGGCCCCCCCGGTGAATCACCCCCCAGGAATGCGCCGGGACGCTCGGGTTCACCGGCGGGATGGRGCCGGCGGCACCGGCGACTTTCGGGCCGGATGCGCCCCCCCAGCTCCCGGCGCGCCCCGAGAGGATCGGAACTGGGGAGACCCCAAACCCTGCCCGGGGGGACCCCAAATCCTGCCCGGGGGTGACACGGGCGGCTCCAGCGTCCCCCCCCCGCGCCGTGCCAGGGCTCAGGAAGGATGCCGGRGCGGATATCCCGGTTTTCCTGAGGCTGGAAATCCCCCCGCGAGCCTCCGGAGAGCGGAAAGTGGCGGGGGCCGGAGCCGGCGCGGGCGGGGGTTCCCTGCGGGTGCCGCCGGGATGGCTCTGGGGACACTCCCGGCGCTGGGGCTGCTTCAGGGGCGCAGCGCCCGCGGCAGCTCCCGGGGCAGCGCCCCCATCCCCAGTGTCACCTGTACCCCCCGCCACCGCCACCGTCACATCGTATCATCAAATTCTCCGTCGCCTTCGTCACCCCGGCCACCGCCACCCCCAGTGCCATCGTGAATGCGGTCACCAACTCCATCATCGTCCTCAGTGCCACCCCCGCGCTCCAGAGCCGCATCCCCGGCCCGTTCCCGGCTGCATCCTTGTCCCTGTCCGGCCCTAACCCCGTCCCACCCCAATCCTGGCCCGGTTCCAATCTGTCTGAATCTGAACCCCATCCCATCCCCAAAATGAACCCCAATCCTACCCCCTCAGCTCCCATTCCTGTCCCCATCCCRATCCCATCCCCATCTCAACCTTAATCAGAGTCCAAACCCCAAAATGAATCCCATCCCCTCCCCATCCTCATCTCAACCTTGCCCCCTCCTCAATCTCAGTCTGAACCCCAACCATAATCCCAAAATGAACCCCATTCCAATCCCAATCCCTTCCCCACCTCAGCTCACCTCAAACCCCACTGGGTCTCACCKTTTCTGAGCAATAGGAACCAATCCCCCCTCAGCCCCCAAATCCTGCCACTCTCCCCCACTTTCGCTTTCACCCCATGCACTTTTTAAACCCCAAATCCCAATATTCCCTCCTGGGAAACAGCACTTTGGGAACACACCCCAAATCCCACAACTGCCAGAGGGTGACCCCCTCTGCTGCCCCCCGCACTTCCAAAAATCCTAATTTTGGGGKTTTTTTACCACATTTTTAGTTTTTAGGGAGTATTTTCCATCCCAGCCTCTGATTTATTTGCATTTGGGGCTGGATTTTTCCACCTTACACTCTAAAAATGATGGATTAAACTCATCAGGCAGAACTTAYAAAAATTTAATTTTTAAAAAATTCAATGTATACACAAGAAGTGAATTTCCCACTTTTTTTTTTTTTTGCTCAACCCTCCCAAACTAAGCCCAAAAATCACTGGGGGAAGGGTTGTGAGGTGGAGGCCGAGACGCTGCTTGTTTTTTCCCAGCAACTTTTTGGGATTTTCCTGACATTGTTTTCCAGCTCTCCGGCCGGATCCTACCCGGCCCTGCACCACCCATGGGAAACGCTCCATTTTAAGGTGATTTTCCCCTTTTGGGGGGCTTTATTTGTTAACCCTCCTCATCCTCACCCCTCTGCCAACCTCCTTCGGGGGGATCCCGGCAGGATCCAGCCCCGGTGCGTCAGGCGAACACACAGCATGGGAAAAGTTGCCCCAAACGCGCGGTTTTCCTCTTACTTTAGGTTTTTTTCTCCCCATTTAAGTTTTTTTCTCCTCCATTTTATTTCCCCCCCATTTTAGCTTCCCTCATTCCCGTAAGTTTTACTCCCCCCACCTTTTAAACTGCCACCCCTTACTTTAACTTTCACCCCTTAATTTAACTTTTCTCCTTTTAGTTTAAAATTATCCACCYTAACTCCAACTTCTCCCGTGATTTTAACCTTTTCCGCCCCAAAACGCGCTCCGGCACCTGCCGAGTCCCCGCCGCACCCCAAACCGTGGGGGGAAGGGGGAAACCCACATCACCCTTTACTCTCAGAGCGCTCCCAAACTCAGCTCCCCCGAAACCAAAATCTCGGGTAATTTGCTCGAATTTACCCCAAAACTGCCCCACCCTTGGAGGTACCCACAATAAAGGAGTATTGGGGTGCCACCCCCCAAAAAAAAAGTGGGGGACTCACCTTCCTCGGCGGCCACGGGGGCGAGCGCGGAGAGCAGGAGGGCGGTGAGGGCCGGGAGCGCGCCCGCCATGGCCGGGCGGGTTTGGGGGTCCCGGGCGCGCCCCACGAGCGGCGGCCCCGCGGGGAGTGGGGGGTGTAGGGCCGCGCGCCCGCTCCTGTTCATTCATGCCCCGCTGACGTCACCGGCCACGCCCGCTCTTAAAGGCGCAGCGGCCGCTCCCAGTGCGCACCAGTCCGGCACTGGGATGGTGCGCGTCCGAGGGTGGGACGCGGCTGGGCGGAGGGGAGGGGGGTGCGGGAGCCCCCCCAAGGTGGGGCACGGCCCTGGAGGGGCTTGGGGGTCCCGCAGCGCCGCGGGGACCCCCCCGGGCTCGACCCCGAAGGAGTGAACGCGCCCCCCCTCCGTCCCCTCCCCTTTCATTCATGAATCGGCGTGGGAAGGGCGGGGGGTGGCAGCCAATGGCTGCAGGGGACGGGGCCACGCGGTTACTACCGGCCGCGCCCCCCGCCCACCGCTTCGATACTGGGGGCTTTGGGGGGGCTGCCCGACGCCCTCAGGCCCTGGCACCCCAAATCCTCAGGACTGCTGTCCTCATGATCCCTCAGCACCCCAAATCCCGCATCGCCCTAAACCCTGCACCACCCACAGCACCCCAAATCCCACAGCACCCCAAATCCCACAGCACCATCCACGGCACCCCAAATACCGCACCACCCCAATCCCGTCACCTACAGCACCCCAAACCCTGAACCACCCACAGCACTCCAAATCCCGCAGCACCCCAAATCCCACTAATCCCTGCACCCCAAATCCCACTAATCCCTGCACCCCAAATCCCCCAATACCCCCAAATCTTCATTACCCCCAGCACCCCAAATCCCCCCAAGTCCCCCTCCACCTCCATCCCAACAGCCCCATTCCCCCAAATCAGACAAGTCAGGCCACCCAGGGATCTTTTTTCATAGAAAACCAGATTTTAGTAAAAAACACCTTTTCCCCTCCTGCCCCTGCTCGCCCGAGCCTGGCCCCAAAGGGGGGTTCAGGTGGGGGGGTCCCCGCTGTCCCCGGGGATGACGCCGGCTGTCACTTGGTCGCGCCGCCAGAGCCCCTCGACCAGGGCGTCCAGCACGGGGGCGACCCGGGCTAGCCCTGCCCGGGCCCCTCCGGCCCCCGGGGTCGCCCCCACCCGCAGCACCCGAAGCCCCCACGTCCCCTCGAAGGCCCTGACGTCCCCCTCCGTCACRGCCGCGTGTGGGGACAGATCGAATCTGGGGTGCAGAGGGTCAAGAGAAACTGCAACGCCCTGGAAAATCCCCCCAAAAGCACCTGAAATTCAACAGCGCTGTGAACCCATGGATGTAATGAGGTGTGCGTGTCCTCTGCCCACCTAGGGACTGAGTGGTTTGAAATCTGGGGGTGCAAACCTGCTTTTGTGGGGACACAGGGTCAAGGGAGATATCAACACCCCAAAACTACCCTTCAGGGTGGCAAAAACCCCTAAAAATAAGCAGGAGCCGTGAACCCATTGATTTAATGAACTGTGCACTTTCTCAGCCCACTGAGACACCAAGTGCTGACAAATCTGAGGGTGCGAACCCATTTGTTGGGGTGGACACAGGGTCAAGGAACGCCTAGAAAAAAACCCAAAATCCCATGAAATCATCACGAGCCGGGAATCCACTGGGGTAACAAAGCGTACCCATTCCCAGCCCCCAAGTGCTGAGAGCCCCGGGGGTGCAGCCCCATTCCAGAAGTGCCGCGGCCCCCCCGAGGGTCACCCCAAAGGATACTTGGTGCCCACGACCACCCTGACGAGGTGGCGATCCTCAGGGCCCAGCACGCGGTTCATGAGCGCCGGCAGCTCTGCGAAGGACGCGCGGTCCGTGWAGGAGAATAGGAACAGGGCGGCGTCCGCCTCCTCCTTGCAAGCCTGGGGACGGGAATGTCCCTCAGCGCGGGTCCCGGCAACGGCCCCGGCCCACGGTGTCCCCCACTCACGGGCAGCAGGTGCTCGAACTTGCGGAGCGCCGCGTCCCCGCAGTCCCACAGGTGCAGCTGGAACAGCACGGGGCGGCTGCTGGAGCGGGGCTTGGCCGGCCAGAACAGCGGGGTGGCCTCGATCCCTGCGGGGACACCGACTGACCGTCACTGTCACTGTCACCCCCGGGACCCTGCCACCCCGGGACCCCGCCATCCCCGGGACCCTGCCACCCCCGGGACCCCGCCATCACCGGGTCCCCCCCAGGACGTACCGAGGGTCTCGTGGTGGGCGGGGGGTACGGGGGTCCCCCCCAGCCAGGCCACCAGCGCTGTTTTGCCGACGCCACTTTTGCCGGCCAGGAACAGTTTGTAGGTGACAGTGGGGACAGCCAGGGCGGGCGGCAGCGCCGGGCGCTCCAGAAGACCTGGGGAGGGAGAGGGAGGGGGGTTTGCGGGCTCGGGGCGGTTTTGGGGCGCTCCCAGCCCGTGCTGGGGGCTCAGGGGGCTTTGGGGAGCTCCCAGCCCGTGTTTGGGGGCTCGGGGCGATTTTGGGGCGCTCCCAGCCCGTGTTTGGGGGCTCAGGAGTGTTTTGGGACTCAGGGAGTTTTGGGGCGCTCCCAGCTCGTGTTTTGGGGCTCGGGGCGGTTTTGGGGTGCTCCCAGCTCGTGTTTGGGGGCTCAGGAGTGTTTTGGGACTCAGGGAGTTTTGGGGCGCTCCCAGCTCGTGTTTGGGGGTTCAGGGGTGTTTTGGAGCTCAGGGGGTTTTGGGGTGCTCCCAGCCCGTATTTGGGGGCTCCGGGCAGTTTTGAGGCTCGGGGGGTTCTAGGGGGCTCCAAACCCGTGTTTGGGGCTCAGGGGCACTCACCGAACACCCTGCGCTGGTTCCTGTGCAGGATGCAGTCCAGGTAGGGATGGCCGGCGTGGGACAGGAGCCAGCCCGGCTCCAGCTCCCGGTCCTGCCCCGCCATGGCCCCGAACCTGCGGCACGGGGAGCAGCACCCCCTTCCTCCGTGGGGTCACTGCACCCCGCGCCTTTGGGGTCCCCTTCTGACCTCACCCCAGGGTCCAGACATCTTCACCAGGGTCCCTTTGTTGTCCCATGGGGCCCCAAAACTTCCCATGTGGCCCCAAAAACACCCCCTTGGGTTCCAGCATCCTCTCATGCGGTCCCCAAAATCACCCACGGGGTCCCTGACCCCTCTCTGGGGTCCCAAACCCCCTCTGGGGGGGGCCCTGTGTTTCCCCTGGGGTCCCACAACCCTCCCATGGGTTCTCTGACCCCACCATGGGGTCTCAGTGCCCTTCTGGGACCCCTGTACCCCAACATAGGGTCCTTGACCCCTCCAATAGGATCCTTCCCCACACCCCGGGGTCCCTGCATCCCCTATAGGGTCCCACCCCCTTCCCATGGTCCTCCTGCCCCTCTGGGGTCCCCATGCCCCGCTCTGGGATCCCTGACCCCCTCAGTGTCCCGCCATCTCCCAGGGGGTCCCTCACAGCCCCACACGGACTCCCTGCACCCCCTGACGGGGTCCGTGACACCCCCACGGGGTCTGTGCCCCCCCATTGGCCCCACGCCCCCCCCCCCCAAATTTAAAAGGGGGTGAACTGAGCCTCCTGTCCCCCAAATCCCTCCCAGTGTTGCCGCCCCACACGAATTTTCCCGCGCGGTCCCTTTAAGGCGCGGCCGCACCGCTCACCTGAGGCCGCTTCCGCCTCGCCGTGACGTCACRCGAGGGGCGGGGCGCCATGGAGACCGTGCCTGCCTGTATGTGCGCATGCGCCAAAAGCCGGGGTTGCGTGCAGCGAGCGGGGTTCCGCGGATTTTGGGGCGTCCCCAATTCCAGCCACCCCCTGGCCCTGGGGACCCATCTCAAATTACAGACACCAGAATGATTTGGGGTGCCGGATGTGCAGCACTGGAGGGATTTGGGGATCCCCATCCCCGATTCCCAGTGCTGGAGGGATTTGGGGTCCCCAGCTGCCAGCTTTTTCAGGCTTCGCATTCATCATCCCTAATTACTGACACTGGAATGCTTTGGGGGCTGGCATCTCCCACACTGGCAGGACTTGGGGTCCCAATTTCTAGCCCCAGCAAGCTTTGGGGTCCCCATGCCCAATTTCCTGCCCCAACAGGCTGTGGGATCCCTAGTTCCCACTGCTGGCACCCCCARTCACCAACTCCAGCAGTCTTTGGGATGTGTGTTCCCAGTGTCCATCCCGAACAAGGTCTGAGTCCCCAGTTCCCAGTGATGACAGGCTTTCAGGTCCCCATCCCAAATTCCCAACCCTGGCAGGACCTGGGGTCCACAATGTCCAGCACGGGCAAGATCTGAGTTCCCCATCCCCAGCTCCCAGCCCCAGGACGTTTTGGGGTCCCCATCCCCAACATGGTTTGGGATTCCCAAATTCCCAGCTCCAACAGACTTTGGGGTCCTCAGTTTCCAACCACAACAGGCTTTGGGGTCCCCATCCCAAATTTCTGGCTCCAAAGGCTTTACAGTGCCAAATTCTGTGTCTCCCTTTCCCCCTTCTACTGCTCCCGGCACAAGAATTTCCCGTTTTTTCCTCAAAAAGACCCCAAATCCCCACTTGTGTACCCCAAACTTGTGGGAAGTGCAGCAGGACATTCCCCCTCCCGCCATTCCTGCCCCGCCCACTCCCCAAAAGCACCRACCATCCATTTCTTTTCCTTTTTATTTGTTAAACCACTAAAAATTCGTCGGGACGGGAGGGGGGAAGGACCCCCACAAACCCCCCAAAAATGTACACAAGTTTTTAAATATCACCGGAATCGCTCGCCATTCCTGCGCTGGGCCCGGGAATGATGGCAGGGGGACACCTGAGTCGCGGGGGGGGACACCTCGCTCACAGCACCAGCGGCTCCCGCGCCATTTGGGGGGCAGGGACGGGAATTTGGGGCCAATCTGTCATTAACGGCACAGAACATGCGTTTCCCGAGCRGAAGGAGGGCTCAGCCCCTCACTGGGATCCCGGAGCGGCTGAGGATGTAAACGTTGGGAGAACAGCCCTGGAGGGTTGCTCCGGAGGGAGGAGGACATCGAGGCGCCACCCACCCCATTCTGACTCCTTTTTTTGGGATGGGTGGCAAAAAACATGCAAAGGGGATGTGGGAATCTATGCCCGAGCCTCGACTGGCTTCCCTGCAGCCGAGCTCGGAGAAGGAATATTCCACAGCTCACCCAAGGTGCTCCTGAGGTTTGAGGGTTTTTTTTGGGGGGGAAAAACTGCATTTTGCTTTCCCTTAGGACAAATCACGGGATGAACGGGAGAGGTTGGATTCAACGAGGGTGGAATTTTTATTTACAGAAGTGGAATTGCCGCGRGTGAAGCAAATCCCTCCCCGTCCCCACGCGGCTGGGATGGGATTTAAGGCTCCGACCGGCAAAAAGCTCAGTGGGAATGAAGAAAAACAGAAACCAGGGATGAAGGGACCACGTCATGGCGCTGCCGGCTTGGGGAGGGTTCCCTGCTTTGAGGGTGCTTGAGGCTGTTGACCAAAACCTGGCAGAATCCACCCTGGTTTTCCCCCTTTTGAAGGGAAACGAAGGACGCACAGGTTCAATCCCTTCGGATTTGGGTTTAATCTTTGCAGAAGGAGGCACGTGCAAAGATGAGGTGAAGTTACTGCATCGAGGCTGCCCTTGAATTTACCGATATCCATCCTTTTCCCTGGAAACCTACCCTGTTCCCAGGCTCCAAGAGGCTGCTCTGGCCTTGAATGGGTTTGGGCCATTGAGTGAAATGAAACCTTTAATTCTAGAAGGGAGTTGGCAGCCAAATATCTCACTTTTRGGGGAATAATGGGATTTGCAGAGTATTTTTGCTGATCAGATRGGATCAGAACTGATCCTGAAGCCTGATCCAGCAGGGCAGGGAGAGGGAGGGATGCTAACAATCAAGATTTTTGGCATTTTGACTCAAAAAAAAGTCCTTTCTTCCTTCTTCTGGTCCTGCCTGGAGGACAGGGAYGAGAGCGGCAGGTGAGAGGCAAAAACAAAAAGGCATCACGTTTGTGTTGAGCAAAGGTTGGCAGCACTGGGAGATTCCCAGTGGGATATTGCTGTTGTTTTCCTGACGGAGTCAAGCATGGAATCAATCAAGCTAACAACCTCCTGCCTGCTGGAATTGGGGTTATTCCTATAAAACCACTTGTGCTCTCAACCCACGAGGAGTCTGAGAGAGAGCAAAACTCGCAAACGCTTGAGAAAGGAACCCAAGAGGATCATGGCTGGCAGAATGGCCCRGGTGCTCATCCCAAATCCTCTGATCCATGGGTCCTTCCCCGCCTGTAAACACGACTCACTGAACTGGGCTCTCGCTGGGAACTGTTGGGGCAGTGTCRGAGGGTTTGCTTGGACTTTTATTGGTTTCCTGCTCCCTAATTCACAGTTTGAACGCCTGCATGTTGGGAAGAGGGCTTGGGAAGGAGGAGGGGCTGCRGGGACRGAGGGGATGGAGGCGGCGGGCAAGGGACTCATTATCTCTTTGCTCGCACAAAGTACAAGGCATTCGTTTTGGGGTAATATTTGACGTTTTGTTTCTTGTCCATGAGGCCACCGAATATGATGAGCTCGCCCCGGCCTTGCACCACTGTGTGTAGACTGGTCTCGGGCGGCCCCACCACGCAGCTGCTGCTGAACACTTTCCACTTGACGCGGCCCCGCTCCTTGGTGTCCTTAATGTCCAGCACGTACATCTGCATGGGCTTGCAGTTCATGCTCTGGTACAGCGGCTTGCCCACGTTCAGCGACTGTGGTGGGTGGTGCCCGAGGCGCCGGGCGATGGGTGGCAGAGAGTGCCCCTCKGCCTGGGTGGTGCCCGGCCGTGCTGAGCCCGGCTCGCTGCTCGGGGAGCCCGGYGACGACGCCGGGGGAGGGCTGAGCGCTGCCGAGGCCGAGGCAGCTTTGGAGGAGAGGGCTTTGATGGCCTCGAGGCTGCGGCGGAGCGCGCCAGGGGACACGGCCCCCGGCAGGGCGGTGGCGGCATGGGGCGGCGTGTGGACGCCATTGGTGTGCTCCGGGGGGTTCCGTGTGCCCGGCCCGCCCTCTGCGCCGTCCAGCTGGCACGGGAGGGACGTGGGCTTCTGCTCCCAGCTCAGCTCGACCGAGGCCAGGCGCAGGTCCTTGTGCTCAGGCAGCGAGCCCCGGCGTGGCACCAGGGCYGGCCCCACCTTGAGGTCGAAGCCCTCAGCGGCCGAGGGGGTGCCAGGGGACAGGGCCTGCACRGGGCTGTCCAGGGAGGCCCCGCCGGCCAGCACCGCTCCAGGTGACACGGTGCCACCGTTGAGCACGGGGGAGCCGTCCCCTCTGGCTGGGGACAGGCTGCCCTCCCGGGAGCCCGACGGCGTCTGCCTGCGGGGCCGCAGCGTGCCCCAGCGGCCGTTGACACAGGGAGCCTCGTCCGTGGTCCTGACCGGAGACTGGGAGCGGTACTCGCGCGTTTCGGGCACCAGGGCGGGCGGCGTGGCGCTGATGGGCGACGGCCGCGAGTTCAGGCTGGGGCTCAGCGGGGCTCTCCCACTTGGGGCTTGGCTGAAGACCACGACGCACTGTCCCACCTGGGGAGAGAGGGTACAGGGGTCAGGATGGCCCTTTGTGCCAGGAATGGAGCACTGTGGGCAGGGAACACAGATCTGGGGATGTCTGCGAGGGAGCGGGGACCCGCTGTGTCCATACCCTGCACGCGGGGTGGCACCACAGCTCCGGCGCTCCGTGGTCCTCGTTCTCCACCTTGAGTGCCTGCCACGTCCAGGGGTTGGCCTGCATGTGCAGCAGCCAGGCGTCTTTGAACAGCTGTGAAGGGAAGTGGGRTGGCTTCAGGAGTCTGCGATTCACCAGCCCAAGCTGAGGTTTAGGAGGCCAGTTTGCTGTGGGCTCATCACACCGGGGTGGGGATGGTGGGAGCGGTGCTTTGCAGAGCTCCAGGTGAGCTGACTGCCCATCAGTGACTGACCCCGTTGTGACCATGGATAAATCCCTTTGTTTCCATCTGCTATCCCAGGAAAACGTCAGGGCTCACCCTGCCGAGGCTCAGGGAACCCCAGGGAGCTGTTCAGAGAGCGCCTGGGGCGATTTTTCTTAATTAAGAAGCTTCTTAAAAAGCAGCTCCAGCAACAGCTAAACAGCTTCTCCGGAAAATCTGCCAGGTGGGTGCCCAGATCTGAGGAATAAAATGCCACCAACGTGCAGAGTTCCTCCGTCCCAAWCCAGCCCCCAGGTGACAGGGAGATGTCCCTGTCCCTGCTCCCCCAGGTACTCACTGCGTTTGGGCCACCGCAGCCTCCGAGGATGAGAATGGTCTCGTTGTCTATCACGATCTGCAGGGGACAAGGGGGAGTTTCAGCCTGGGAAGGATTTTTGGCCGGGCTCCGTGTGCCCGTGATGAGAAGCAGGGCTGGCACAGAGCTGGTTCTGCTGGGTCAGGGGCAGAGCAGGGTGCAGGCTCATCCCACTGCCCTGTGCCAACAAGGAGAGCCATCGCCCTTCCCACAGCACCAGAGACTCGAGATCTGTTGAGATCTATCGAGATTCGACATCCTCAAAGGAGAGGGACAGAGGGGTTGTCTGGGAGGACAGGTGCTGGCAGCGATAGTGGGACAGGGGAGCTGTTGGGGGGTGCCACTGGTGGGCAGAAGGTGCCTGCAGGCACCTTTCCAGGGCATGGCCYGGTGAGCCCTGCTGGTGCCCTGGCAGGACATGCCCTCAGGGTATCACTGACCACCCTCCCAGGTGGGGACACCTGCACCAGGCCAAGTGACAGCCCCGAGCTCCCTGCCCGGGCAAGCACTGCGGGGCCATGCCAGGAGCGGAAGCGATGCTGAGGCACTAGATGTTGGGATGGGGAGCGGAGCTAAACCGGGCTGTGCTGCCTTCCCGCTGATCAGAGCAACCGTGGGGGTGAGCAGGGCTCCAACAGCTCTGGGGCTCTGACAGCTCTGAGGTTCCAACAGCTCTGGGGCTCCATCAGCTCTGGGGCTCCCACACCACTGAGCTCAGCAGGGCTCTGAGTCACATAGGGAACATGCTCACACCGACAGGGAAGCGTGCCTGGCGGGCCGGGCCCCGCAGAGCACTCAGGAACAAACCCTGGGGCGCTGCCTGGAGCTGGGGACAAAGCTGGGCTGAGCTCACCTGGGACTGGCCCCCGCGCGGGTGAGGGCTGGGCCCTGAGATGCTGGGCTTGGACCAAGCCCACTGCTCCAGATCCAGCACCCAGACRTCGTTGCTCCTGCAGGGATGAGACAACACAGGCTGAGGGCACAACCAGGGAWGTGGAACTCGGGCTCAGAGGGTGCCGAGGCAGTGGGCAGACCCCAAAATCCTGCAGGGAATTCCTCAGGGGCAATCCCAAGACCCTCCCAACCCCCTCCTAGCTCTCAGGGGCTCTTGTCAGACGCCCCCATCCCAAACTTACATCTGCCGGGATCCGAGGGAGCCCCCAAAAACAATCATTTTGTCTTCGATGACACAGGAGGAGTGCCCTGCCATGGGAGGGGGACCGTGYGTGGTCATGATGCAGTTCCACCTGGGAAGAGAGGCARCAGGACATTCCCCAGTGAAGGAAAYGCTGGATGAAAGGCCAGACAACAAATCCCAGTGGCCTGCAAAGCCCTCAAGGACAGGGGAAAACCACAGGGAAAACCGCCAAATATCCAAACAGCAACAAAACTAATTAGAAATCCCAATGCGCTAAACATTTTTAAGGCATGACCAAATCCCATGGCCAAGTTGGGAATATCTCCCCTTYCAATTAAGTTTGCCTCGAATTCTTTCCAAGAGGTTTAATTACAGAGTTGTAATGACACTGCCCAAAGTGCAGCGAGTAATTGATACTTTGGAGGATGAAAAGTTCTCGGTGCAAGAGGAGCAGGAACCTTCTCTTTGATACAGAAATTTTCTTTCTCACACACAAGATCAGTGAGAAAACCAGGTCTAAAATCAGCCAAATGGTATTTAAAGGGAAAAGGCAAATTCCTGCCAGCTCCATGGACACTSCTGGGCTGGAAAGGCAGAGGTTGAGACGATGGAGAAATCTGATTTATCACATCCCCCTGAGGGAGCTGAGTTTTGAATCACCACAAAAAACAAGACCTCCAGCACTTCAGGCTTATCTCAGGAACACCTCAGAGCTCCCAGCCAAAGCCATTAGGCACTGAAAACACCCAGGTTTTCCAGCTGGCTGGRATACTCAGGGAATCTGGAATACATAAGTACAAGTCCAGGGCCATATGGAAGCAACCAGTGCCCACGAGGTGCTTGGCAGAGCCACATCCTCAGCTCTGCTGTCCTTGCGTGGCTTCTGGGCTTTTTTTTTTGTTTCAGAAAGCGCATCAGAGACACACCTGGGAGACCAGGACCACGCACAGCTCCCCAGGCATTCCTGCAGCTGCATTCCAGAGCCATTTTTCCAGGATCAAAGGCTGCTCTTACCAGTTTTTGGAGGGAGAGTACGTGTGGATCTCATCGAAGAATCTCTCGGGCTGGTGCAGGGGGTACGGGCTGGGCCGGGTCCAYCCCCCAAAGAGCACCAGCAAATCCTTGTAGACCACCAGCGTGGCGCCAGCCTTGGGAGAGGGGTAAGAACCTGGCAGGGATGGAAGAAACGTTAGGAAAATCACGACTGAACACGAGCCCCCGACTCCACATTGTTTCTTCCCGAAGTGTCACAATGCAGAGACACCACCTTTCCAAAAGATGAAAATAAGAAAAAAAAAAAGGAAAAAAAGACACAAAAAAGGGGCAAAATTAGAGCTGGGAGCCTGGGAAAAAAACTCCTGCCAATTTGTGTCATGGTAATTAGTAGGAGGCTGAAAGCACATCTCAAACACGGCAAAACATCTGTCACTCACTGGCAGGAAATTGCTGGTTTTCCAGCGTATCTCTTAAAATTATTGCTTTAGCACCGAATAAAAGCAGTAATTACCTCCAAATACCTCCTAAGGTCTCTCCCCAGGGAAGGGGGAGAAGGGAGACAATCCCAGGCACCCACAGTGGCTCGTGGCAGATGTGCTGGGTGTTTGCACTGAACCCAGCTTGGAGGAGGGAGCCCTGAAAGCTCAGGGTGTGAACGAAATCATTCCTCGAGTCTGTGGGATGCAGTGCTGCTCTAAAAACCATGCAGAACCTTTCTGGGGGTTTTTTTGAGGTTCACAAGGCTCTGCAGGGACCTCCTGAGCAGGACCTGCACAAGGACAGTGTACCCTCCTGGGCTCAGTGCCGATGGGATTTGCTGTGCTCAGACAATTCCAGGGATCCCACGGGTTTTCCTGGGGTCACCTCTCAACCTTCTGATGCTCCTGTGGCCCTGGGCACCACATCCCTGAGAAGCTGCCCCTGGATCCCTGGGAGTGTCCAAGGCCAGGCTGGACAGGGCTTGGAGCAGCCTGGGATACAGGAAGGGGTGGAATGGGATGAGCTTTAAGGTCCCTCCAACCCAAATCGTTCTGGGATTCTGTGATTCTTGTGGAAGGTGTCCCTGCCCATGGAAGGAGGCTGGAATGAGATGAGCTTTAAGATCCTCCCAACCCAAACCAATCTGGGATTTTATGGTTCCAGTTCGGAGCAGGAGCAGCCCCAATGCAAGAAACCCCTCAGCAAGAGCAACTATCAAAGGATTCGATCCCTTTGAATTTACATCAGGAACTGAGCCCCGATCTGCTCGAAATTCCCATCCCTGCCTGCCCAGGAGCCACAGGTGCTGTGTCACCATCCCACTGCTGCCCAGGAAAAGCTGCAGCCTCCCCAGCCTGGCTGACTCCRYGCATCCTCCTTCCCATGGWGGCCACCAGCAGCCRGCACATTCCTCCTCATCCTCCTYCTCCGCCRCTCTTTCCAAACAATCCTGAGCACCCAGACCAGCCCCACAGCTCCTGTGCCCAGCTCTGAAACGGGGCAGCTCAAGGGCATGGCTCGCACRTGGCCGGGGTGGCACTGTCACCTCGCTGATGCTCCCGCCTGGCCTCTGTCCCCTCCCCTGTCCCAGCAGGACTCAGAGACACATTTTTAGCAGGGAATGACACCCAGAACGGACTATTTTTAAAAGAAACCAGAGCAGCTATTTTAGGATGTTGCAGCTGAGGGAAGCAATTCCATGGCGATGGGCTCCAGGTGCGGGGAGGGAAGAGCCCGGCACAGAGCGGTCCTGGCTGGGGCAGAGATGGCCACGGTGTCCCTGGGCCCTGCCCCAGGGACAGAGCGTTCTGCTGCTGTCAGTGACATAGACGTGAGGGAAAAATGGGAATAACGCTCTGCAGGAAGCACTGAATGCTGGGTCACGTGTGGCCAGCGCTGCACCAAGGTCTCTGTGAGGATGAGATGCTGGTGAGGGTCACATTTGGTTACTCTTTGTTCCTGAATTCCAGTTTTCCCAGCTCATTCCATGTGTGCAATTTATTAATCCACATCAGCAAGTTTCCAACCTCAATAATTCCCTGGCAGTGCCGAGTTCTCCTCCAAGCCTGTCATCACAATTGAACCCGAGCTGGTGAATCCCACCCTGGTGACTCTGCCAGGGATGCCAGAAGATGCTGGGGTTAAATTGGGTTATTTTTAAATAAAAAGGGGTAGAAAGAATCATTCCAGGCTGGAAAAACATGAGCACCTTATTGAGAAAGGTCTGGTGAGGAAAATCATCCTCCCAGTACAGTGACCTGAAGGTCAAGACCAGCCTCAGCACCTGCCGGTTCCTGAGTGAGTCAGCAGCGTGCAAACAGCCCAGGGCCGTCCTTCAGGAAACTGGGCTGTTACTGGACATGGCAGGATGTGCAGGAGCTGAGCTGCATTCTGCAGAGCAGGAAAACTGCATTTGACCGGTCAGAGAGGCGCTGGCCTCTCACAGCCTCTTCCAACTGCAAAACCGGGATATCTGTGGGCACCCTCCAGAAATTAGATGCACCACAAGCGCATCTGGGATCTGGTGCTGGAGAAGGGACACGCGGAAATCTGGAACGTGAATGCTGTTTGTCCCTGGAGCAGGGGAGAGCTGCTGGGTGCTTCGGTGCTTGGGATGGGCAGGAATGTCCTGAGGGAGCCCGGGGAAGGGCAGGAACATCCCGCCGGTATGGGGAAGGCACCAAGGCACCGGCAGCTTTGTGACTTCAGGACTCAGGAATGTGGGACTGAGGGACATCAAAGGGGCCCTACAAGGACCTGCTCAAAGTCCGGCCCTCTGCAGGATGGGGGATGTGGGAGCAGCCTTCCAAAGCCTCCCAGGAACATGTCCTGTCTGGGATCCTGTCTGGGATCGGGATCAGGCTGAGGAGCCATCAGAACCTCGTTAATGAACTGCACGGGTTCCCGCTGGTCTTGGGGGAACCGGCTGTGTCTCCGAGCCCATGCCCCATCCAGCCCGACATGCTGGGCATCTCTCCTCAGGGATGGGGATTTGGGCAGGCCGAGGGTGCAGCACAATTCACTCCTCCTGAGTGCAGTGGGCCCCATCCCTGCCCAGCTGACGCTGTTCTTTCTGCCGGCACCAGGAGCTCAAAGCTGGGCTATTTTTTTCCCAGCTGATGGAATTTTCCTGGCTTGCAAAGCCAAAAACCCAACCAACCAAAGATGTCCAGCTTCCAGGGATGTTTGGAGAAGAAATGCCAGCCTCTGATGGCTCCCAACACAAGCTCGAAGTATGTTATCTTTGTGGGATTTGTCCTTATAAGCAGTTTTGAAAGGCCGGTTATCCAGCCCTCCAAAGGCACCGGAGCTGCACGCGTGGAGATTAACAGGAACAAAGGGAACGCCGAGCTGCAAGGGCATGTGGGACACGGATCCAGAGCAGCCTTTCACCTCTGGGAATTGCAGCCCCGACAGACTCCAAAAACAAAGCTGGAGTGGGGAACAGAACGGTCACAATGTGGGTGTTTGCTGGGATTGCCCGCATGGCAGGATTGGTTCAGGGATGGCATTTGGGGGAATATTCTACTGGGGCTGGAGTGGGGCCAAGGCTTTGTACCGACCTGGGGCAAGGGAAAGCATGGGAAGAGCTGTATGCAGGGGTAAATATGGGGGAATTTAATTCTGGAGAGGGGTGAGACAAAAGCTGCAGGCAGGAGCTGCTTTTGCTGGACCTGCTGGGCTCTCCAGGGAGCTGATCACCACCATCACGGCCGATAGGATTTTCACAGAATACCCACACAACCGAACCACGAGTCCCATCTCAAAGCTGAGAAAATAGAGGGAGCTGGTCCAGCACCCCACAGATCTCACGGTGCAAAGGAATTCAGTCTCCCAGGTTCAAAAGCCACCCGCAATCTGCACTCCAAATGTACAGAAATCATCCTGGAAAGGGCTCGGGGCTGTCCGCTCACAACAATCCAGGGATGGCTGGGATGGAAGGGACCCTAAAGCTCATCCCATCCCTGGCCTCAGCCCTGCCCTGGGCACGGACACCTCCCACTGTCCCAGGCTGCTCCAAGCCCCATCCAACCTGGCCTTGGACATTCCTTCCCAAGGCACGATGGCGCCTGTTTTGTACACTGAGTTGTTTCAAATCAGATCCAACGCTGCCCACCCGGAGTTTTCTGCTTCCACGCTCAGAGCCCCATCCAGGGGCTGGTTTTTAGTCCAGCTTTTAGGCTGGACCTGGATTTTCAAATCCCAGCTTCCAACCTGGAACCCCTCACCCACCCCAGCCGAGGGATGGCCCCAATGACATTCCAGCACAAAGGTCCAGCCCAAACTTGTGTGACACCATGAAATCCCCAAATCTTCCCCCTTCAACTGGAAGCAAAACCAGAGAAGGAAAAAATGAGAAATCCCTCTGCCTCCCAGGCCAGACGGGATTTTTCCATAGCAGTCAGCAGATTCACCAGAATCCCTGCCAGGCTTCCCAGAGGGAGGAGGATGAGCTGGTGAGCAGCAGTCCAGAGGAGAAGGAGGAGGAGCATCCCAGCACTCCCAGCACAAACCCTGGATTTGGGAGATACCCAAGGAGAGCTCATGTGGGAAGAGCAGACAACCCATGGCCTGTCTGTTGAACACTGGCTCATTCCCAAGTCAAACCCAACATTCAGGACTCTGCTCAGCAGCCCCCGATCCAGCATCTGACACCCACTTGTTTTTATTCCCAAAATGTCCAAAACGGAGCCCTGGGATTACAGAAGTGTTCTAGGCCAGTTTTGACTGGGCCAGCCTAAACCTTAGAGCCTTAAAAAGCCACAGAAGTATCATCTTCCCTTACCAAAAACACAGGCAAATTAGTGTTCCCTTCCAGAAAAACCCCAAATTCCATGCTGGGAAGCAGACAGGAATTCAGCTTTGCCAGTTTTAAGGAAAAGCCAAACAAGATCCGCTTTGTCTCCTCAGCAGCGAGACAAAACCTTTCAGGAAAGGAAGAAGGGGATCATCCCGAGTTTGTTTGCAGTTTTGGAGGGTGCATCAGCAACCCCCCAGTGCTGACACCCCACAGAGCATTCCCAGTGTGGGATTTCCACCCTCCAGTGCCACGGGGCTGTGGTACAAGCCCAGTCAAACCCCAGCTTCGTAGAAGTGACGCTTCGGTTTCTCACAATTTCGGGTGGCAGAGGCAGAAGCCCCGGGGAGGATCAGTCACCTCGGTGCTGTTGCAAGGTCCCCGTGTATATTTGTTTAACCCCGGGCTTGCTGAGGCCCCGATAACGCCGTGCAGAGCAGAGGCAGTGCCCTCTGAGCCTTG